TATATTGATGATATTTTCATCATATGGACAGAAGGTGAATAATACCTAAAACAATTTTACTTATTGATCAACACTTTTCATCCATCAATCAAACTAAAAATGGAATACTCAAACACACACGTCAACTTCCTAGACACCACAGTATACATCAGGGATGATACGCTTCACACCTCAATATACAGGAAACCCACTGACAGATACAACTACCTTCACAGTTCTAGCTTCCACCCCCAACACACGAAACGTGCCATCATACACAGTCAGGCCATTAGATACCACCGAATATGTTCTGACCCAAGAGACAGAGATAAACATCTCAGGACACTAGCAGACGCCTTCCATAAGAAAGGTTACAAGGACAAAACTATCAACAACAGCATAAACAGAGCCTTGAGAACCCAAAGAGAATATCTACTTCAGTACAAGGAGAAAAAAAACAAACAACCGTGTACCTCTAGTAACCACATACAACCCTAGAAGGGATAAGAAAAAACAATCAAAGATTTACAACCCATTATAACTAGAGATGAGCGAATTATTCAAAAATTCGATTCGGCTGATTCGCCGAATTTGCGGAAGAAATTCGATTCGATGCGAATTTATTCGCTGCGAATTTAACTTATTAAAAGGGTTTCTAGGCTTCAGAGAGCCTTTATATTAGTGCAGAACACTGTACCTTTAATTTAAATGCCCTTGGAGTCTGCTGGGGAAGAGAAATAATACTGTCAGTCAGTATGACATGCAGATGAGTGCCGTCGATCTTAGAATCACCGCACACTTCACTCATTTGGGCAGTCACGGGGCACGACGAAGAAGAAGAAGAATGAAAAGAAGAAGAAGAAGAATGAAAAGAAGAATGAAAAGAAGAAAGAAAAGAAGAAAAAGAATGAAAAGAAGAATGAAAAGAAGAAGAAGAAGAATGAAAAGAAGAAGAAGAATGAAAAGAAGAAGAAGAATGAAAAGAAGAAGAAGAAGAATGAAAAGAAGAATGAAAAGAAGAATGAGAAGAATGAAAAGAAGAATGAAAAGAAGAAGAAGAAGAATGAAAAGAAGAATGAGAAGAAGAATGAAAAGAAGAATGAAAAGAAGAATGAGAATGAAAAGAAGAAGAAGAATGAAAAGAAGAATGAAAAGAAGAAGAAGAAGAATTGTTACTCAGGGACAGACACAGAATTGTTACTGAGGGCCACAGAATTGTTACTGAGGGCCACAGAACCGTTACTTAGGGCCACAGAAACATTACTCAGGGACACAGAATTGTTACTGAGGGCCACAGAACCGTTACTTAGGGCCACAGAATTGTTACTCACGGACAGACACAGAATTGTTACTGAGGGACACAGAATTGTTACTGAGGGCCACAGAACCGTTACTTAGGGCCACAGAATTGTTACTCAGGGACACAGAATTGTTACTGAGGGCCACAGAACCGTTACTTAGGGCCACAGAATTGTTACTCAGGGACAGACACAGAATTGTTACTGAGGGACACAGAATTGTTACTGAGGGCCACAGAACCATTACTTAGGGCCACAGAATTGTTACTCAGGGACACAGAATTGTTACTGAGGGCCACAGAACCGTTACTTAGGGCCACAGAATTGTTACTCAGGGACAGACACAGAATTGTTACTCAGGGACACAGAATTGTTACTGAGGGCCACAGAACCGTTACTTAGGGCCACAGAAACGTTACTCAGGGACACAGAATTGTTACTGAGGGCCACAGAACCGTTACTTAGGGCCACAGAATTGTTACTCAGGGACACAGAATTTTTACTGAGGGCCACAGAACCGTTACTTAGGGCCACAGAACCGTTACTCGGACAGACACAGAATTGTTACTCAGGGACACAGAATTGTTACTGAGGGCCACAGAACCGTTACTTAGGGCCACAGAAACGTTACTCAGGGACACAGAATTTTTACTGAGGGCCACAGAACCGTTACTTAGGGCCACAGAATTGTTACTCAGGGACAGACACAGAATTGTTACTCAGGGACACAGAATTGTTACTGAGGGCCACAGAACCGTTACTTAGGGCCACAGAATTGTTACTCAGGGACACAGAATTGTTACTGAGGGCCACAGAACCGTTACTTAGGGCCACAGAATTGTTACTCAGGGACAGACACAGAATTGTTACTCAGGGACACAGAATTGTTACTGAGGGCCACAGAACCGTTACTTAGGGCCACAGAAACGTTACTCAGGGACACAGAATTGTTACTGAGGGCCACAGAACCATTACTTAGGGCCACAGAATTGTTACTCAGGGACAGACACAGAATTGTTACTCAGGGACACAGAATTGTTACTCAGGGACACAGAATCGTTGAATTAAAGAGTATGTCAGACAACATGCAGAGGAGTGGCAGAGGAGGCAATGTTTTAGGAGCGAGCAGACGTGGCAGCAGAGGAAGGGGTCGAGGCAGCACTATTCGCAGCCAGAGGCCAGTGCTCTCGGTGTCATCCAGCGGTCGTGTCTCCACCGACAACCCTGCCGTCATCGATTGGTTGGCTCGGTCGTCTTCCTCTTCCCAGGTCACCTCTGACACCTACAGCCAACGGTCGGTGGGTACGTCAGACACAACCGTTAGTTGGCATGGCCCGGGAGCAAGCCCACTGAAATCACGCGTCCTCTACCTGCCCCTGTCCTTTGGTGTTCCCTCACCAAGCGAAGTATCGCATGCTGTGGGCTCAGCCCCACTGTACAGTGAGGAAGAGCTAACAGAGGGCGGTCAGGAACGGGGGGAGACATCCGCCTTTTCAGCAGCCAGGCGAAGAAGTACTGGCGAGGAGAGTGGCTCGGTAGCCGGTCTAGAGACAGGTCTGTCTCCTGACCCAGACGCAGCCGAGGGGGCTAGTAGTGAGGCGGAGACCCTACTTGATGATGAGGAGGTTGATCGCACTTGGCAGCCTCGTCGTCATCAGGTAATTTCTTTCGCATCATCAGGAGAAGAGGGTGCCAGCTTGGCAGCGAGCGAAACAGTCGGTGGGTTGCCCAGGAGGCAGCAGGGTCGCACCTAGAAGAGATGGTGGGCCAGTCTTTGAGCATGTCGGTCTCTGCCAAAGTGCACGGCAGCGCCGACGTGTGGAGCTGTAACTACGGTCAGGGACAGTACATGTCATTTACGGCCCACTGGGTGAACGTGGTGCCGGCACAGCCGCACCAGCAACTTGGACAGGTCACGACGCTTTTGCCTCCACGTTTGCACGTCCTTGGTCCAGCAAACATGTCCGCCTCTACCACCTCTTCTTCCGCCGTGTCCTCAGCCGCCACCCCCCCCCAGTGCCAAGTCCCATTACCCGACCGGCATATCACATGTGCAGGGCGCAACGGTGTCACGCTGTGCTGCACCTGGTATACCTTGGCGAACGTAGTCACACAGGGGAGGAACTTCTGAGTGTAATGAACAGAGAAATCGACAGATGGCTGTCTCCGCGCAAACTGAAAATCAGAACCATGTTGACCGACAACGGAAAGAACATGGTGTCTGCTCTGCGTCAAGGAAGGTTGTGCCATGCGCCATGCATGGCTCACGTGTTCAATCTGGTTGTCAAGCGGTTCCTAAAATCCACCATCCCACTGCAAGACATCCTTAAAATGTCACGTAAACTTTGCATGCATTTCAGCCATTCCTACACCGCAAAGCACACCCTCCTTGAGCTGCAGCGGCAGAACGGAATTCCACAGCATCGCCTGATCTGCGACGTTGCAACAAGGTGGAATTCAACCCTACACATGTTAGACCGCCTTTACGAGCAGCGAAAGGCCATCACCAATTTCCTGATGTTACAAGCGGATAAAGGTACTCCCCTGTGTAACTTCGATGTCAGCCATTGGCAGCTCATGCGTGACACCTGCCGCTTGCTCAGGCCCTTTGAGGAGGCCACGCTATTCGTGAGTCGGCAGGACTATGGGATGAACGACGTCATTCCTCTGTTGCACGTCCTTGAACAAATGCTGTTAACAATGGCTGGTCAGGGTGCGGTAGACGTGGCGCACAGATCTCAACGCCACATGACCCCTGTGGGGGCAGGACAGGAAGAAGAGGAGGAGGTAGAGGAGGACATTTGTGCTCAGGAATTATTGAGTGAAATGGGTGGTTTTTCCACTCAGCGGACAGGAGTGGAGGAGCAGGAGCATCTGGTAGAGGAGGAGGAGGAGGAGACAGAGGACCCAGACGTACCGTGGCAGTATGCTGTGGAGATGGAGGCAGGGAGTCCCTCGCATTCCTTGGCACAAATGGCCCATAGCATGCTCGGTTGCTTGCGTAGCGACAGCCGAATAATAACCATCAGACAGAGGGATGACTTTTGGCTGTCCATCTTGTTGGACCCTCGCTACCGTTCAAAAATGGTGGCCTTTTTCACACCTGCTGAGAGGGAGGCCAAAATAACGTACTATAAAAACCACCTATGTAGTCAGTTGGTCTCTGCCTTTGTGCGCCAACGTCCATCCTCAGACACTGTGGGCCCTGTGCGCTCGCGTTCCGCTGCCATGGCAGCAGGGGAGGGGTGGGGTGGTAGGAGCAGTGGCAGCTCCACCAGCAGCGGCTGCCTCAGTCTGCAGTCGATGATGAGTAGCTTTCTTCACCAGCGCAGTGAGGAAACTACTAACCAGCCGCAGCAGCAGCAGCAGCATCAGGTGGACCTGGAGCAGGAGCTCAAACAACAGGCTTGGGCCTACTTGGACAGCACCCTGCCAACCGAGGTAGACAATCCCCTTGACTACTGGGCGACGAAACTTGACCTTTGGCCCCAACTAGCTGAATTTGCCCTTGAAAGGCTGTCATGCCCGGCCAGTAGCGTGGCATCGGAGCGCGTGTTTAGTGCGGCAGGAGGTATTGTAACTCCGCGGAGGACACGACTGTCCACCCAAAGTGTGGAGAGACTCACGTTTGTGAAAATGAATCAGGCGTGGATTAGTCTGGATTTCAAACCACCAGTTCCTGACACAACTGACTAAATCCGCCATGAATCATGCCCCAAACATGTGCCACTTTCAGGTCTCCTCACACTGCTGGTGTGTTCCATTTTTTGTCATAGGGTGCTGGCAGATTACGGGCCTCCCATAGCTGCTGCCAGGCCCCTAATCTGCCATGGGCCCTTATACCGCCTCCTCATGCTGCTGCCAGGTCCAGAGTCTCTCATGGGTCCCTGTACGGCCTCCCATTGCTGCTGTCTCCATCGCCACATTCTGCCATGTGCCACTTTCAGGTCTCCTCACACACTGCTGGTGTGTTCAATTTTTTGTCATAGGGTGCTGGCAGATTACGGGCCTCCCATTGCTGCTGCCAGGCCTGTAATCTGCCATGGGCCCCCGTACCGCCTGGTCACGCTGCTGCCAGGTCCACAGTGTGACCTGGGTCCCTGTACCACCTCCCATTGCTCCCACTCTGCCATGTGCCACTTTCAGGTCTCCTCACACTCCTGCGGTTTTCCATTTTGTCATAGGTTGCTGGCAGATTACAGGCCTCCCATAGGTGCCGCCAGGCCCCAAATCTGCCATGGGCCCCCGTACCGCCTGGTCACGCTGCTGCTGGGTCCACAGTGTGACCTGGGTCCCTGTACCGCCTCCCATTGCTCCCACTCTGCCATGTGCCACTTTCAGGTCTCCTCACACTCCTGCGGTTTTCCATTTTGTCATAGGTTGCTGGCAGATTACAGGCCTCCCATAGGTGCCGCCAGGCCCCAAATCTGCCATGGGCCCCCGTACCGCCTGGTCACGCTGCTGCTGGGTCCACAGTGTGACCTGGGTCCCTGTACCACCTCCCATTGCTCCCACTCTGCCATGTGCCACTTTCAGGTCTCCTCACACTCCTGCGGTTTTCCATTTTGTCATAGGTTGCTGGCAGATTACAGGCCTCCCATAGGTGCCACCAGGCCCCAAATCTGCCATGGGCCCCCGTACCGCCTGGTCACGCTGCTGCTGGGTCCACAGTGTGACCTGGGTCCCTGTACCGCCTCCCATTGCTCCCACTCTGCCATGTGCCACTTTCAGGTCTCCTCACACTCCTGCGGTTTTCCATTTTGTCATAGGTTGCTGGCAGATTACAGGCCTCCCATAGGTGCTGCCAGGCCCTAAATCTGCCATGGGCCCCCGTACCGCCTGGTCACGCTGCTGCTGGGTCCACAGTGTGACATGGGTCCCTGTACCGCCTCCCATTGCTCCCACTCTGCCATGTGCCACTTTCAGGTCTCCTCACACTCCTGCTGGTTTCCATTTTGTCATAGGTTGCTGTATGGCCTCCCATTGCTGCTGCCTCCACCGCCACACTGTGGCTCCAAACACTGGTTTTGGCCCCGTGACTGGCCAAATGAGTGAAGTGTGCGGTGATTCTAAGATCGACGGCACTCATCTGCATGTCATACTGACTGACAGTATTATTTCTCTTCCCCAGCAGACTCCAAGGGCATTTAAATTAAAGGTACAGTGTTCTGCACTAATATTAAGTCTCTCTGAAGCCTAGAAACACCCTTTTTTAAGTTAAATTCACAGCGAATATATTCGACTCGAATCGAATATTTTCCACGAATTCGCCAAATCAGTCGAATCGAATTTTTGAATACTTCGCTCATCTCTAATCTTTAACCTCCTCGGCGGTATGATTCTTTCCGATTTTTTGTGCTGAAAGCGGTACCATTTTTTTTGCATGGAAATATGTCGTTTTTTATTGTAGGCTGTAATTTTTAGGAATAATTCACTGAAATCTCAACGAACAAGAGTCTATTAAACATCCCGGTTAGGATAAAATTTGAAACACGAAATCATAAATTATAATTTAATAAATAATCATAAAAAATAATAATATAATAATAATAAATTTAATTCAATAATATAATCAAACCAAAAACACTGAAATTTGAAATACAGAGGCAAATTTGCACATCGCTGAGCAAAGTCGCAAAATCGTTTTCAGTGTCTGATGACGAATTTCCCCACAAATCATTATCACTCAATTCTGCAAGTGGTTCTGATTTACTATCGCTGTTCTAAAACCGCTTTTGACGTAAAGGGACGCTTTTTGGACGCCATGGACTTTTTTAAGTTTCCAGGCAGAAAGAACATTCAAAATGCAGGCAGGGCACAGGACAAAGCAGTAGGGACCAAATATATGTGAAATGCATTGAAACAGCAAAGACAGCAAAAATGACATTTTTTTAAAAATTCAATTTTCCCGCCGTCCCAACGTCACAGGGACCGGAACACAGAAGCCGGATGCCGGCATCGGCCGGAGGAGATGGCTGGGGACGCTGCAGGGGACACATCGCGGGGAGCGAAGGACAAGGTAAGTGCTGCAGGGACCGCCAGAGCTGCGCCGCATGGTAAGCCCGAGTGTAGCTCGGGGTTACCACTCTTGGTATAGAAATTTTACCCGAGCTACTCTCGGGATTATCGATAAGGAGGTTAATATCTCCAGATCATACAGCTGCACCTCCAGTAATTTGTGTACCTTATCCAGTACAGAAAGTGTAACAAAGGATCTTATGTTGGCGAAACAGGACAGAAGTAGCAAACAAGGATGAATTTGCACAGACATACCATCAAGGAAGATGACTTTTGCACACCTGTGGGACGCCATTTCGCACAACCAGACCACACTTTGGAAGACCTCAATATTTTAGTTCTTAAAGGAAATTTCAAATCCATTCAGGAAAGAACAACTTTTGAACTAAGAATGATAATTCTATTTGACACAAGCGATAACGGCCTGGATTTGGACAAGGGATTCCTCAATCATTATCCAACAGTTTTATGACTATCACCTCAAGCATGACTGCCTCTGAGAGCTTTGTCTCCCCCCCCCCAGACTTTGCTTTTGCTGTGTCTTATCTCTGTTTTTTTTTTTTTTTTTCCATCCCCTACATCTCTTCTAACATTCTGCTAAAACTTTGTGTTCAGTACTGCTTGGGAATATGAAAAAATCAAGACTGCGCTAGTAACAAAATATTAAAATATGAAACACAAAAGATATACCCGTGACAATGACAGAAACAATATTAAATCTAAATCATATCAATCCAAAAAATTTTTTTTCAAAAAATCAATCATATAAAGTCTCTATAAATCAAGCATAAAAGTCCCAGAAAATATATAATAGTGAAGAAAAAAAAAAATGAAGATGAAAAAAATTCCTTTTAAATAAAATCCACCAAGTGAATCCACCACCAAATGAATTGAATAGACTCACCCGAGCAATATGCTGATTATATTATAAACCAGCATAAGCGCTTTTTTGTTCTGGGAGCAGCAATCTGCAGACAGTAGAAACACAGCTTTGGCTTGGAAGAAAACGATTTCCTGGAGCAATACTCTGGAGGAGACTCTGAAGATCCACTTCATTCATATCCCATCTTGTTTAAGAGGTATTGGAATGGTCACTCGGAATATAAGAAAAGCAGCTCATGGTGCAGTACTTCTTAAAATTGCTGCTTTAATAGTGACAAAAACACACTTACAAAAAACGGTGTCCAACCGACACCAGCATATTCAGCACAAACAGATGCAAAGAAACAGACCCAGCCACATTACATATGCGCTCTTGCGATGCTAGGAGTGTGCTGACGTCACACCACTCAAGCCCTTCCCTACGTGTTTCATCATTCGACGTCCTCACGGAGCGGATGAGTGTGAGACGTCCTAACCTCATTAAATAGGCAATACATTCGAGTCGCAACAGCTGACAGTAATTCCAAATTGCGTGTATGAAAACGCCAATGACAGGTCATCATACACAACATCCTCTTAAAATATGTCAAAAACAGAATATATCTTGGAGGCAAGAGCAATATACATATACACATAGCAACTAAATAGAATAAAACTAATAAAAACAAAATGTCATCTATTAAACCCTTAAAGGGCCATACCTCCCCAATAAGGAAGGACTCCGCACTGATATATAAACATATTACTATAACAATTCGTGTTCATCCCCGTAAAAGGGACCATAGCCTACAGGCTAAGGAGGGGTTCCGAACACTAAATAAGAAATCTAAAAAACTTACCAAAAAATATATACATAAGATTATACAATAATCAGTACTTTTGACCAAAAATATACTGTGTAGATATATATATATATACATATATATATATATATATATATATATACTCCAGCTCCAAGATGACATCACAAAAAATACAAAATAAAACAATATAAAGACGAACTAAAAATTTGTGAGAAAACTATTTAGATCTATATCAATATTTAACCCTTGAGGTTTCAAAGAGTTTAACTCATAAATCCAGTATGTTTCTTTTTTTGAGATCTCTTTGATCAAATCTGTCCCTCTCCAGTGGGGCTTTACCACATCTATCCCATAGAAGGTTAACAACCTGGGATCACAGTTATGTGCAAGTTTAAAGTGCCTTGAAACACTATGTTTCTCAAAGCCCTTTTTTATGTTCCCTATGTGTTCTCCTATTCTAGTTTTTAAACATCTACTGGATCTACCAACGTAATGGAGATGACATGGACATTCTGAAACATACACAACATGTGTAGAATTGCACGTTATTAAAAGACTTGATATTATATTCTTTATTAGAAGAAGTGGAGTTAAAGGATTTTCTTTTTATTCTGGATTCAGATTTTACTGTTCTATGTACCTTACATTTGTTACAATGAAAAAAAAAAAAACCCTCTAAGATTTGGAAAAAAATCGACCTTTTTCAGAGGGTCGATCACATTATGAGCTAATCTCAATCTTAAAGATTTATTTTTTCTATAGACAAAACAAGGTTTTGCAGGCAAAATGTTCTTCAATACTTCATCTTTTAATAGAATTGGCCAATATTTTTTAAAGATACTTTCAATATTTCTATATTGCATATTATAATTCGTAATAAAGGGTACACTATTGCCATCAAACTTCTTGGTCACCTTTTTATTACATAGAAGCGATTCTCCATCTTTTTTTTTATTTATTTAAATATTTATTACATTTTTCAGATAAATACATATCACATTTATAATCTCTTACAACCAGCCCATAACTTTTATTCAATTCTGTTCTCCTTTTCCCACTCCCTCCCCACTTCCCTCCCCACTTCCCTCCCTCTCCCTCCTCTCCCCCCCCCCCCCATCACCAACTCTACCATACTTTCACCTCTTCTAGTTAGAAATAAGGGAGATATACTTGCTATACACTCTACCCACTTCTATTCAACTTTAACTTAAACTCCCTCCCACTTTCCCCATCTAAGGTAATATGGTCCCATCTTATCTTCTTGCATATGAATAATTTTTTCCATCCTACTGATTTGTTCAACTCTCTCCATCCAGTCCTCCTCCCTTGGCACCTCTATTTTCCGCCAGAACTTGGATATTAACCCTTTTGCTGCATTTAGATAATACCAAATACCCGTCTCCTTATATTTGTTCACTGAGTACTCTATACAATGAAAGAGACAAGTCTCTGGATCCAAACCAACCTCAATTTCAGTTATCCTCCTAATTAAATTTACTATCTCCTTCCAAAACACTTGAATTTTTGGACACCCCCACCATACATGATACACCGTGCCCCTCTCTCCACATCCTCTCCAACACCACCGTGACTTCTCACCACACATCCTATTTTCCAATTCCGGTGTAATATGCCACCTTGTCAAACACTTATAATTCATTTCCACCTCTCTCATAGATATATTTTCGTGAATTAATCTAAATATTTTCCTCTGTTTTTCCTCATCAATTACCACTCCAAAATCTCTTTCCCAATTAACTATATACATTGGCTTTGAATTTGTGCTAAATCAGTGAGAAGTTTATATATCTTTGCTATTCCGTGTCTCCCATCTCCCTTTGATTCAAGTAATCTCTCAAACAAGTTCTACTCTTTTCTAGATCTTAGGGGTTTTGGGAGATTCCTAACAAAGTGCTTCAATTGGTGATATCTCCATTCATCTATCTTCGTGAAAACCTCTCCACCCTCCTTCTCCAAATCCTTAAGTGATTTAAATTCCCCCTTCACCATTATATCTCTCAACTGGGCATTTTCCTTCTTAATCCATTTTCCCCCCCATCTTCTCCCTCCCTGGGGGAAAATTTTTTGTTTTCCTTAGTGGCATTAATTGTGAGTTAAACTCCCATCCCAGTTGTTTGTGCATTACATCCCAAACTCTCAAAACATTCAAAGTGTACAAACTAGTGTTATCCTCTAATTCTCTATATTGTGCTGGAACCCATACAACTTCCCTCAATATCCTTCCATTCAGTGTGTTTTCGATTTTAACCCAACTTTTCTCATCAGTGTTGTGTGTCCAATCAAATATTCTTGACAAAATTACTGCTTTATGGTATCTTTTAAAGTCTGGCACTCCCATACCCCCCCGCTCTTTAGTTCTACTTAAAACTTCATAGGATATTCTAGGTTTTTTGTTCCTCCATATATATCTTGTTATCATTTTTTTAATTATCTTAAAATAAGCCTCAGGAAGTTTGAT